GAAAATCAGCTCAGATACACCTATCCTACCACCCAGTGTTAAGATACAGAAATTAGAAACATTTATGTCAGGGATAATGAACTAGAGCTTCTCAGTTTTGTTTACGCAGATCTCAAGGGTGAACTTAGAAATAGTTCAAAATATACTGATACATCCCAGTTACTCTTATAAGCACATTTACATACGTGAGTAGTAAATGGCATTTTATAGTAAATAAGACATTTGATTCACTTGTTGGTCTATATAGCAATGGATAACTCATGTTTAGCTCTTCATAAAAATAATTAGCAATAATTTATAAGCCTGTTATATATTATTTATACATATACTCATAGCATAAAATATTAATGTTTTTCCAAGATCTGGGAGCAAAGTAAGGCTTCTGCAAAACATGATAGATTTTTTTTAAATCACTTTTCACGCTGCACTGACATTATGCAGTGTTTTTCCCTGCTACTATTTCCAGATCCATTCATTTATTCTAGTTTATTGTTTTAACTTACATATTCATGCAGTACTGTTGTCGCAAGGGAAAAAAGGGATTATTTTTCTGTGTATCAACATTAAGGCCCACAAGTTTCCAATAATGCACATTAGAATGAACGTTCTAGTATTTACATACCTGCATAGAATCACAATTGCTGGAATGTCTCTCGTTCCTCTGTTGCTTGCCACATAGTAATGAAACTTTAGGTTGATTGTAGAAATCTTTTGTCCATTATTACAGTGTAATTTACAATATTGCACAAACAGCAACCACAGTAATGGACATCATTGAAAAACACCAATCTAGTATAATCTGCAAAAATCTATGCTTACATTTTTGAAATGCTCTAAATACAAATTATAGCTTTAGAAATTAAGATGGTGAGGAGCCTCAGAGAACCAGCTTTAACTCCTGGGTCTTCTGCACTATTTCATCTTCATTTTGGGTGATTCACTATATAAAATAGAAATTAAAAAATACCATTTTGTCTGTTTTCTGTTAACTTGATCATAAGAGACTATCTGTCTTTTTGTATTCATAGCAAGGAGGCTAAGACTTTGGTATGGGACTTGGAGGCCTTATTAAATGAGAAATAGTAATAGGCAAGTTTGGATGAGATGTTTCACATGCCTGCTCTTGAATTCAAGTTGACTTATTTCCTTTGAAAATTTGAGAAAAATCTCCTTGCTGGCTTATGAACTATTTTGGATAACATAGAATAAAAACTACTGTGTGTAATCTTAGTAAACTTAAAAACAAATCCTCCACGTAACTATCAGAAGGCAGAAAAACACCATAATTTTTCAGACATTTAAAAAAAGATCAACTGAATTTAAAAGAGGATGAGTCTTTCTCTACAAAGGATGTAATAAACTGGGTAATATACTGTTTATTGTCTTCTAAGAAACAGAAAAGTATCTGGCTCTTTGAAAATGAATATGTCTTTTTATATGTTTGGAAAACATCACCAATATTCAAAATTTTGGGGGGGATAATAACACTTTTTCCTGTCATCAGAAGGGTGATCTGCAATTTCAGGATGGACGATATTTCAATGGACAGTATTACTTCCACTCTCTCTCCAGTTAACAAAATATGAATCACAATTTTTTGGATTTTATACTTTTCAAATACATAGTGAAAACAGCAGTAGTGTTGGAGGTACTCCAGCAAGGTGAGTGCTATCCTTAGTTTTGCCTAGACCAGTGGGTAAATTCCACAAAAAATGTGAAGGGAAAACTTCTTTCTAGTTGACTTATTAGACTGTCCATTTTAACACTTGGCAAGAAGTTGGTACTTTCTGGATGTGTGATAGGAGACAGCAAGCCTGGTACTTTAGCCCAGATTTTGTGAGCCTGGTTTCATCTCTTCATTGCTTCCTTTCTGACAGTCTCAAGGAAGAAGCTCTATTTATAATGACGATGTCCTTGGCTTAGAAAAGAGTGTATTACCTTCAGATTTAGCATCTCACATCCCAGTCTGACATTCACCTACTGAATGGCATGGCTGAAATGAGAGGTTCCCTACGGATATATCAGGCACTTTCAGCCCCTTCTTTGTGAACTATTGTTACTGTGCCCATGCTAGGGGGCAAGCCAAAATGCTGCTCTTGCAGAGAATTCCTGACTCATGGGTTTCTAAGGAAATACAGAGATCTAGAAAGAAAAATATTTTGAGTACCAGTTTAGGAGAAGTCTTCATCAAAGACCTTTTTTCCCAAAGTCAGTTGTGCTGTCTTATCCAGCAACTATTCCAGTCACTTTTCCAATCAATCTGGCTTAACAGTAAGGCAAGGCATGGTCAGTTTACAATTTCATACATGCAAAATTTTTAGCAAATGCAATATTAATATCTACTTAGGAATAGTAAGTAGATATCTTCCTACACAGTGAATTTTTTTTCTATATACCCTCTGTATTTGTTTCCAAATTCCTAATATTTGGAGGCAAAAACACACCCAGGATTTTCTGGTATCAAACCATCTAATTCAAATCAGTTCTGTTGCTTGCCCAAAAGTTATTGAGAAGCAGATTTCTTTGATGGTTGTGCATCAGAAGACTGTGCTGCCATTCAGAGGGACCTGAACAGGCTGGAGAGCTGGGCAGAGAGGAACCTCATGAAGTTCAACCAAGGCAAGTGCAGGGTCCTGCACCTAGGCAGGAATAACCCCATGCCCCAGGACAAGCTGGGGGCTGACCTGCTGGAGAGCAGCTCTGCCGAGAAGGACCTGGGAGTGCTGGTGGACAACAAGTTGACCATGAGCCAGCAGTGTGCCCTTGGGGCCAGGAAGGCCAAGGGTATCCTGGGGTGCATGAGGCAGAGTGTTGCCAGCAGGTGGAGGGAGGTGATCCTGCCCCTCTACTCAGAGGCTGAGGGAGCTGGGCCTGTTCAGCCTGGAGAAGAGAAGATTGAGGGGGGATCTCATCAATGTGTACAAGTATCTGAAGGGAGGGTGTCAGGAGGCTGAGGCCAGACTCTTCTCCGTGGTGCCCAGGGACAGGACAAGAGGCAATGGGCAGAAACTGAACCACAGGTAGGTCCATCTGAACCTGAGGAAAAACTTCTTTCCTGTGAGGGTGACAGAGCACTGGAACAGGTTGCCCAGAGAGGTAGTGGAGTCTCCTTCGCTGGAGATATTCAAAACCCGCCTGGATGCGATCCTGTGCAATGTGCTCTAGAGGACCCTGCTTGAGCAGGGGGGTTGGAGTAGATGATCTCCAGAGGTCCCTTCCAACCGCAACCATTCTGTGATTCTGTGGTTCTGTGAATTCATCTTTAGCTTAAATCCCTTAAAGTTAATGGGAGTACATAAGGGATAGTTTGACCCATGAGACTCATAATTCCCTCCTCTTAATTCAAGGTTTTAATTCCTCTCTCTCATTTGACTCCTTTCTAAGACTTCCTTTTCCACTAACACCTTTGAAAAGAACTTAACTACCAAATAATGATTAGGTAGAGAAATAATAATTCTGTTAATCGCTTTGTTATGTTCCATTCTTTTTTTCTCTCTTTCATTAGCCTTGGTTTTATAACTCTGCTTAAAGATTTCTAAGATAAATAAACTGCGCTTTATTTAAGTTATAATCATAAAAGGGCCGCAATCTGACAGTAAATTATGGCCTTAATGAAGTATGCTGAGAGTCTCTCCAAGAAATGCAACATTTGCTTCTAATGTGGCTCAGAAGGCACTTATATTGTTGCTGTTGTATATAAGAACTGTTGGGTTTTTTTTAAACAAAAACAGTTCACTTATTTTTTTGGCAGTAATTCAAATCCTTATAAGCTTTGGTTAATATCCAATATGGTTTCATTCAGGAATGTCTCTATAGGGTCTAACAAGACTTAACATACAGGTGTTTCAGGCTTACCTTTGTCTCTGTGGATCAGATTCCCTGTAAATGGAAATGTGAGGCAATTAGACTAAAACTCATGGTTCCCTACCCAAGTATTAAGTTTTGGAGGACTCATTTCTTTTCTTTCAAAGAAACATCAAAATTTTGTGCAGAATGCATGTAGTTTTCACAGGAAAACCTGATTTCAAAAAAAAAAAAAAAGACTGTGTTGAAAAGAAATGTTAATAGAAAATGTCCAATTAGTTTATTGCCCAGGTCCTTTTAAATAACCCCAGTCTTCACTGGTCAAGAAGTGACAACCATAGAGGTTTTGCCAGTCATTTAAGTGCCAGCCTGCTCTCAAATTTTCATTCTCTAAATCCATGAGACTTTTCTGGCAAAGTCTGTGTTGCAACTTTTTCAGAGAGTTCCCATCTAATTACAGTACAAGTATTGAAAATAAAGATGTCTCCTCCGTGTTTAGCAGTGGTTCAGCTCTTTCTGGAGCATTGTGTCCAGTTTGGGGTCTGCAACTTAAGGGATATGCTGGAAAATTTGGAGAGAATTCAGAGGAAAACATGAGACTGGTTGTAGAACTGGAAAGCAAGTATTGCATTGACATGGAACATAATATGTTTAGTTTATCAAGGAGGGGGTTACAGGGCTATCCAGCTGCAGCCTTAAAAGAATCTAACAAGGGAACAAAAATATCATGATAGAGGAGATTTTTAAAATAGAAAATAAAGGTACTAGAAAACTCAGTGATGGGAAACTGAAACTATGCAAAATTTAGATCAGAAGCAAGTTGCAATGTCATGATTCAGCATAAGTTAGGAAGAACTGTGGTAGCTTCTCTATGCTTTTAAATCAAGATTCAATGTTTTTAGAAATGCATGGTGTATTTCAGCCATAGATATTCTATTTAAAGCAGAAGATAATTCTAGAAAACCCTGTTTTATGTGATAGAATAGACCAGATTAATTATCCCTTCTGTCCTCAAAATCTATGATTTGCTGAGTGCCATTTTCTCTAACATGACACTATATGGTCACAATGCAGTAATTTCAGTTTGAATCTTTTTTTTTTTTTTGTCTTCCATTATGTTTTATTTGGTTTGCTGACTTTGCATTTTTTGTTTCTTTTCTTTTTGGTTTTTTTTTTGTTTCTTTCTTTTATTCCAGGAATTGGTCAAGGGGTTCCAGTGGTGGCCCTCATTGTGGAAGGAGGTCCCAATGTTATCTCCATCGTTCTGGAATACCTGCGAGACACTCCTCCTGTTCCTGTTGTAATATGTGATGGCAGTGGCCGGGCATCCGACATCCTTGCCTTTGGTCACAAATATTCTGAAGAAGGAGGGTGAGTCCTTTACTAGTGAGTGTTCCTTCTCGATCTGCAGGTTCAGTCTGGTGGTAACAAGAGCCCAGGAAACTATTAGCAATGTAGTGCAAAACTAATCCCTTCCTCGCATGGATGTTTCTGCCATTGATATGGGTAAAATATTGAAGGTATGCAGTCCAAGAAAATAAGAAATTAAAGCAAAACTAAGGAAAGTCCTTAGAATAAAGCAATCAGAGTTGTAGAAGCTGTATAATATAGTTATTTGCCATGGGAAGTAACACAGGGTCAAGTGCAAATGTGTAGTATCCTGCATTTCACTCAAAGGGCATGGGGAATTATTTTCACTGCATTCAAAGCTGGCTTAGATATGATATGTGTGATAATATAGTGTACTGCTATCTTCAGGTTTCAGGCAGCCCTAACTAAATCATCATGATCCCTAAAAGTTCATATAAGCTAGTTTGTATTTGCCTTGTCCTTTGGGCAAGATTCTGCATGCCTGTCTATATTCACACATGGCTGCTTGTGCACTGATCTGTGTTTGCCTTGTCCCACCTTTCTGTGCAGACTCAAGGTGAAGCAAGGATAGTATTGAGCTTGTATTAAAGAAAATTCAAGTGTGTTTTTGTTGAATCAACTTGTACATACACTTTGCAAGATCCCAAGTGCATGTTATAATTAAGTGCCTAATTGTTTAATATTTTGTTCTTTTCCTCTACCCACAAACATGTATGCAATCAGAGTAGCACAAATAAGAGAGGATTCAACCATTTAAAACCAACACATGAAGGTGGAACCAAAATCTCCTCAGATTCAAATTACCAAGAGCTAGTTCATGCTCCTTTTCTCCAACTGCCTGCACTGACCTGCACAAATCCAGGGTTCACTGGGAGGGGACACATTTTTGTATGTATTAGCATATGTAAAGACAACTATTCAGACCTACAATAGAATTATGCAAATAATAAAGCATAAATACATATACACTGAGCTTTAATCTAACATATATTTTGAAAATAAATGTGATCATGAAGCTTCCTCAACTTAAAACTCCTAATGGGAATAAGAAAGTTTGTAGCAAATATTTCAATGACTTTTATATTCAGGTTCATGCTTAGTCCAGTGTTGTGTCTGGGATAGTTCTGAATATCTCAGGTTTCCTCTGAATCCCTGAGAAGTAGTTCCTCTGTTTTAAGCAGCCTCACTGTTTATACCTTTACCAAAACCTTATTCAAACACATTTTATCCCCTTGCTCTGTTTGCACCTACACAGTTTCCATCTACCTGCTCTGTGTTCTGATGTCATCATGAAAAAGAATTTAGCAAGAACAAAATGGATACACTTTATTTCATCATCATAAACTCCTACCTATAAAAAAAGCAAATAATGGAATAATATTTGCTAGAGGCAGAATAAGCGAGTGCTTTCTTATCTGAGATTCTCAAGTTTGGCTTCTTGAAAGCTACTATTCTCTAGTCTGTGGTGGTTCTTTCCATCTGACACTCTCCAGGTTGTACCTGCAATATTATCATATGGCATAAAACTTTTTGGGCTGTTCAGCCTGCGCTAAATAATACGTACATACTATGAAATATGTAAAGCTAGCTAGTGGGAATTTCTATGTGTTTGTCCCACTTCTGAAAACACCAGTCTAAAGTGCAATGTTATTTTTAAGAATACCAAAAGTGAAACACCAATATTATTTATATTCATAAAACTATTTTACCCAAATACATTACACTTCATATACAAATTGGGTACTTTTCCCTTTCTAATTATATTAACTTACTTTTGAATAATGTTTAGCAATATGAGGAGAATACAGAATAATTGGCACATTAACTGAGTTCAGCTACTAGTTTTTTCTTTTGGATGGAATCCAAGTAGGTTACACAGAACTGTGTCTTATTAGACTATAAATCAATGTAGCACATCCAAATTGCAGTCAGAATGTAATTCTCCAGTTCTCTATGCGATCAGACTATAAAGTCAAAAAAACCTACTTTAATTCTGGCTGCTGGCTGCAAATCAGAATCTTCTCCAAGCCATAGCATAGCTTCTCATCACTATGCACTGGACATCTGATCTAAATCACTCAAAAACCCCATCACTCCTGGCAGCAACAGGCTTTGCATTTGAATGTCAATATTATCGCACTGTTTTTCAGTGTCTTAAATTTCCACTCACTGCAGGCAAGAAATGGACTCATTTTCTACATATACAATAAGAATGTGTGTATGTGCGTACTAAGCACTGCTGTGAGTTTTCAAGTTTGTTTGAAAGTTTGTTTCCATGGACACAGAACTACGTCTGGAGGTGAAGGAGGATGAGACGTAGCTCTCTGCTTGAGTTTCAATCAGTGTGGCACCAATCCTTCCTCTCTGAGAGATCCTAAAGAGCAGCACTGGGCAATCATCCACCCCAAAGGCCCTTTCATATTGGGTTTCACAGAGTTGTGCTGTGCCTGCCTTCTCTCCTCATTGTTTATCCTTCCCAATTGATTTCACATAGCAGGGAAAAAAACATTTCTGATATTATGCAAGGTGCAGTATCTCTGTGCAATGTGACCTTTTGTGCATCCTTGAAAAGACCTGAGATAAAAAGCTGGAAACACTGCCTTATTTTAAGGCCTTACTTTAGGTTTCTTCTGCAATAAACAGTTGCTCAGTATGACAGGAGGAAATTTCACTAAAGCAGATTCCTGGTATGTAATGCAACTGTAAGCAAAATTTTGCAGTGCGCAGTGATGGCCCAAGCCAGCACTGCGCGGAGACTTGTGCTGGCACTGACTTGCAGAAGGGCTGCCTGCAACACTGTAATGGAGTAAGAAATGGATCAGAAGGAACTGTGAAGTGTACCTTAAAGTAAAGACATCTTTGAAGGTCAGTCAGTTCTGAGGACTAAGTGCCTTTTCTCTCTCAAAAATAGTCTGTTCAACTTGGTGGGGGGGGGATGCAAGCCCAATATGCAGTGTTTCATACTGGACTTGGTTTAAATACAAATATCGGATATGCAGTATTACTGCATTTTTTTAAGTTTACCATAACTTTAGTATTGGAGAACACATATTGTCTTGGTCCCAAAAATTGTGAAGAGAACATTCAAGGATGTACAAGGTGGCTCCATTTTGCTACAAGCGAATAACAGTCTCAATAGTAAGACATGTTCCCAGTACCCTTTACATCTTCTTACTTGACAAACAATTTATGGATAGGAGATCACATAAATGAGAAATAGGCTTAAATGCAACCTTCCCCAAGTTGTGAATAGGAGGGACTTTGTGGCTGCTTATCAGTATTGTCCCTAACTGAAAGGTCAGGATCTACAGGCTCTGATGCACTTACTTGCTCATTTACTTAAAAACTGAAAATATATTGAAGTACTTTGAGGGGTGAGAACATAGGAGCAATCATAAGCCCCCAAATTTAGCCCCCTACTAAGCACCCAAGCTATGAAAGTGAATATTCAAGTAGTTCATATATGTTTCCTCCACACAAAGCCAAAGTATTTTTGACTGTATAATCAAGGATGGCTTCTCATTTCCCTTTCTTGCATACAAGCACAAGCTGAAAGTAAAATGACTGTAAAGCACAACTATTTATAGAATCATTCAGTAGTAATTTTTAATCCTCAGATAATTTTTTTAATTAAATGCTGAATTTAAAAAGAGAAAGATGAAACACTAGGTTAAAGCTATGTCACTTCTTAGACAAATATTTCCTTACAGAATGGGAAATGACTTGCAATATTCAAATGCAGTCTCCCAGCTGAGTTTATAGTGTCTTAACTATTCCATCAGCTCTACTCCTGCAAGCATGAGAGCCTTAAGGAATTCAGTTCAATGCAATAAAAATGTACTTCTTGCCTGATGTTCATAAGGAAACATATAAAACATTCTCTCTGCTTTAAATGAGCTATACATCCTCTTGTGGGAATCATTAAAGATTGCCTTTGGATTGATCTGTCTCTACATCTCCCATGGCATAGCTTTTAGGCTTCATAACCAAAGCATTTGACTTAAATATTAAAAAAAAGGAAAAAAATGAGTTTTTTCACTTTGAGCAAAAGGGATCATAATGTAGGTTGGATATCTGTCTTCTATGTCCACCATGATGTTTAGTATTGCATCTGAATTATTTTGTAAGATTGTTTTCACATTGCTTACATTTATATCGGTCCCTTTCTCTTGTACCAAAGCACTTTGCAAAGCAAAAAACTGCATAGAAACAGGTCATTTCTTTGTTGAAATACAGCCAACTCTCTTTTCGTGAGGGGACAGCTATTCAATAAACAGAAGTCAGGCAAAAATGGTGTAGAAGAACAACCACCTGTGAATAACTTCAAGCAGCACCATTTCTTCATGAAAGCACCTAGGAATCATCACTGTTTGAATGGAAAAAAGGAATAAGTATGTTGATTTTCTGTCTCTTCTCAGAACAAGAGAAATACAGTCAGTTCTGCTGAGTTGCACATCTGTGCCTTATTTACAATTCCTACCACAATAAATATCAACAGAGCCTCTGGTCCTGTTTCTTACATATGGTATAATTGTCTACAGTCCAAACCATAATTAAAAAAGAAAATACCTTCAGTTTCCCATAAAGGAGGGCAGGGAACAGTTTTCACATCACACAGATATTTTATGTATAAACTTTCTTTATCCTGAATAAAAAGAATAATAATAATAAAAAAAAAGAATTCACAAATGAAAAAATCAGAAAGAAATTATGTGCAGTGCACTGAATGGAAGTGTTTCATTTAGAGAATTTCAAAGTATTTCAATATCAGCCAGTTAAAGAAATCTAACTTACGCTTAGAAATCTGATTAGAGCATAATCATTGTACATCTCCAGCATGTTGTGCAACTCCAGATCTCTAGAGAAAAATGACTAAATAATTTAGGGAACTGGCTATGGACCAGATCTTTCAAATCCTCTCCAGTTTTCACTACAAAATCATATGCCATGAGGCTGAAAGACTGTGACGTTATCGAGTGGAGTGTCTATTATCTCCTCAG